CCAGCACTCTGGGTTGTTGAGACATGAAGCTTTCAAGTTCAATCCCAGCCTGGGAAACTTAGGAAGACCTTGCCTTAAAATTTAAAAGGGTGGGAGGTGGTTTCAGAATGTAGTTCAGTTATAAAGGCTCTGGGTTCAATCAAACAAAAAATTTCCTAGAAATTATAAAGTAACCTAGTTGATAAGGTAAAGGGCACCAATCTGACCTTAAAATGAAGAAACAGATTCAAAGAGTTTGACATAAAAATCCATCTTATAGGACACTTCTGGGGATGAGGATATAGCTCAGTAGCATAAGTGCCTGCTGGGTGAGCACAAGGTCCTGAGTTCAATCCTGGTGCCAAAAAAGACGGAAACATCTAACAACACTTATATACAGACACAGTAAGTCCCCAGAGTCAGCTTTCATAGATATGAACTGACCTCATAATATGAACATTTATAGAGGGGAACAAATCGTGGGAGTAGCTTGCATGTCGGACACACTGTCACAGTTGTGCTGCGTGCTTGCTGTACAGTGTGACAGTGTGCAGTTGAGCAGTGCTCAGTCAGCTGCAGAATGCCCAGAAGCAAAAGGAGAAGCAGTGGTGGTATCGGGGACCACCAGGAAGCACAAAGCAATGCCGTGGCACATCTGTGTCAGAGGTGCATAAGGCTCACTGTCAGGCTTACAAACACATCTGACTTTTGATCGTTCTCCTGGAATGGAACTCATTCATAAGTTAGGGTCTCTGTCTCTCCAAACTCAGACCACAGTCTCTTCTTTCTTGAGTGCCCACTTTCTCTTTTCTGTGTACTTTTTTTTGGTAAACACACTTTATTGATTTCTTACAACAAAACACTGCCAGCTAGCATCACTTCCAATCATACGACATTAAAAACAAAGATTGCTTTTCAGTATTTTCAAATGATGCATTATATACCAAACAATTTCAAATGTACCCTGATTAATTATGTAAACTGATAATTTTTTTTTTTTTTTGTGGAACTGGGGATTGAACTCAGGCCCTTGTGCTTCCCAGGGAAGCACTTATTCCACTGATAAACTTTTTAGAAGGGTTACTTTGGTTCCTTACTTCATAAAATGAAAATTTAAATATCTCTCTTGATGGTCTTGAGCTTATCATTACATTATACATAGCACAAGTGTGGCACACATAGTTTCATCTAGAAAGGTGCACACCTTCTTTAACCAAATGTGCATAACAAATGCATGCAGTCAATGTATGATAAAGAGTACACTTCAAACACAGGGCATCTGGCAAGCACAGGTTTCTGAGTTCAATCCCCGGTACCACAAAACAAAACAAAACAAAACAAAACAACCCCAAGGCAGGCCCTCAGGCCACTGTATTATTTAGGTTTGACATTATCATTTATGGCATTGCAGATTAATTATATCATTTGTGTACATTTAAGTCCTGAAGACACAAAAA